GAGATGGAGACAATCAAAGTGGTGACAAAAGTCAATTTTCGTTTCAAAAGTATAGTTCACACTGGAAATTTGTAGACTAACTGGTGTCGCTGTAGAGGGGAATTTGGATTTAAAGTATATTTGCGGTACTATCGCATGAGGCCAAACGAGCAACGTAAAAAGAATCGTTGAATATGTGAAGGGGGCATACTGGAATTGGAAAACCGGGATAGTAAGGTCTGAAGGATGGATTTAGCTGGCTGAATCAAATCGTCCCAAAGGCTGCTGGAACCAAGTAAACAATCTGTTCATACCTGCAGGCAAAGGAAAAGTGGGCGAGAGTGCACAATCAAGATTAAGAAAGAAATAATTGTGGTTGTGCCATCAAACTGGGTGCGGTAGTGCCTTGCCGCCGTTGCACTAACACACCTTGGCTTCTCATCATATCCTCACAACGGACGTCATGTTTGAGATGAGCGGACTAGGGTTGTGTGATTCTGAAGACAGCGGGATTTTCGGTCGACCATGGTGGTCCAATGATGTTGAACAAAGCCACTGCAGGATCATAGGCAGTTTCGGTTCCATTAGAGATCTGTTTAGACACAAACACGGGGAAGTTGGTGTAAATCCGGCCGCACAGGATGTTTGAAGCTTGGGAAGAGGACGGAATGAGACGAAATAAGTATAATCCGGTGAGTTCAATGGACACTGAATATAAGAGAAAGTGTCACCAGTCCTCCGGAGCACTGCTTGCAGCCTCAATCAACAAATGATGCGTGGCGGCAAGAGAGAACTTGACTCGTGAACGTCATTCGGAACTTCGACCAAAAAGAGTCTGGTGTGACCATGATTTCATAATGTTAGGTGTAACGACAACGCCACTTGTATGAAAAACACAATATTGGCTCTAGTTACCTTCAATAGTTCGTTAATTTCTGTCGGCCGATCAATGCAAATAACCACACTTGCTCAGCAGACAATATCCCACCCACACTTCCGGGCGTGTGAAAGTATCATAACGGCTCATTTTATCCGCCACAGA